CAACTGAATCGCATGTTTACAAAACGTCTCCAGTGCTATTCCTGGTAAATCTCTGTTTTGAACAATGAATTATTGGACTGAATAGCCTCAGAAACTGGAACAGAGATAGCATTTGCCTGAGAAGGCCACAGAAAACAGAGGTCTAAGAAATGAAGGCCAGAATAAAAAGAGAAGAAAGGAGATGGGAAAGTCAGAAAGAAGTGTTGTGCATGGTCAGGAGCTGAAAACATAAGTTTAAATTCCCTTTTGATTTCAAGCCAACCACCAGTTAAATTTTTCACTCCAGGCTTCTGGGCCTATATATTATGCTTCATAAGAATTAATTCCAAAGCCACATTTTTCCCATCATAGAGGAACACCCGTGGAGGAATGCAGGGGAGGAAATAATGTTGAAAAAAATGCAAAAACCCATGTGGAACGCCCAGAAAAAGATCTGAGAGCAAAAGCTTGCAGGCATCTAATCTGCTGCCCACAGATCTTTCCTTCATCTGCCTTGATGTTGCATCCAGACAAAAGATTTCTCATGAGTATTTCTCCATGCAGGAAAGAAAAAATATGACATCTATAGACAACCTTATGATAGCCAGATCCCTCATATTACTGGGCTGAACTTTGATCGCGATCTTCAGAGAATGTCCATGAGATTCCTTGCCTCCAAATTTCTCAGCAAATTTTGTTGCTTTACTTCACATTTCCTGCTTCTGTTCTGCTTTCCAAAATAGAACTTTGGATTTACAAGGAATTATTGTAATTATAAAAGTATTATAGTACAATCTTTCATCATTATTTTGTGTGATAGAAGTGGCTGATCATTTCATTACTTAGTCCTTTCATTCACATCTGTCTTATTGCTATATTTTACATGGCTAAAACATGTAAAAATTAAGTCTTCATATATTTGATCTGCATGTAATGCACTAATTTACAAGAGAGTGTATGTTTATTACTAAAATGCTTTACAAGAGAACTTTGATACAATTTCACATGTGTTTGCTCCAATTTATCTATTATTTATTAGATTTATCCCCACCACAATTAGAGACTCTTGGGAACTTACAGCATTGATCATTACAGAAAAGTAAATGTCCAAAGTGAAAAGGAATAAAACAGAATAACATTTTTTTTTAATTATTTATTATACACATGTCTATGCCACCATGATCTAAAGAGGCTCTTGGCTTACATAGAACAGATACAAACTAAAACATCCACAGTAGGAATAAAACAGCTATGAACACAAAACAAGTAAAAGCCAGATAACATCCTTACAAATAACTTCAACAGAACTAAAGATGGCAACATTTGCATTAAGGGAAAGCTCTCTGAAACAATTCAGTTTTTAGAAGCTTCTGAAAGACCAACCAAGAGGACAAACTTAATAGCCAGATCCTAACATACATGGCACATAACTGATGAAAACTCATAATCTGAAGGCTTCCTGGAAAAGCTCCATCTTTAAAGGCTTATGGAAGTGGGCGACCACTAACACGTTTTCCCTGGCTATACTTGTGACGTCGGTTGAGATTGGTTGGAGAAGATGGTCCTTTAAGACCTCAGTGCCAACCATGAAGGGCTTCAAAAGGTAAAACCAGTACTTTGAACTGCACTCAGAAGCAAATGGGGAACCAGAGCAGAGCCCAATACATGGGTATCAATACACACAGACCTATGTCAGCCGTTACCTGGGTAGCACATTCTGAATCAAATGAAGCTTCTGAAGCAGCCTCATATAGAATGTGTTGCAGTAGTCCAAATGGGAGGTTATGGTGCCATGAATTACAATTGTGAGGGCCTCCAGCTCTAGGTAGGGCCATAATTATCCCGCCCCAGTCAAACCTGGTGGTAGGCTCCCCTGGGCATGGGCTCTACCTGCCTGTCTAGCAGCATCTCTAAGTCCAGGAAGAAATCCAAACCATGGATCTGCTTTTTCAGAGACAGCGCCACAACGTCAACAGGCAATACCAGAACATCAGAAAACCCTAATTAACAAATAGGCAATGCAAAAGTGCAGGGCTGAATTGGGGGGGGGGGTAGAGAAACACTCTGAGCTTTTATTATTTTCCAAGCAGCACTACAATGAGCCGAAGACCATATTGTGTCACATGATAACCCAGTGCCAGTGCTAAGGAAATTAGCAAGTGTTAGCTGATAATAAAAACATGTCTTGGAACTTAGAGTTATTGTACACATTCCCATCCATCTGCCAACAGGTACACTTAAGGAGACTATCAGCACATTTTACCCTTAAGCCTAACTACTTTCTTTTTAACCAGCTACAGAACTGCCAGTAAGCTGTTTTTACAAAGCGGTCATCCCAGGAAATCACTCTTGTTGCTATACCCCTCTCATATTCAGCAGCCCTGTGTCCTGGGGCGGTAGGGTGACCACACACATTTGTGGTATTCCACCTCTCATTTTTCTCCTTCCTTTTTCCCACCCACTGATTTTCCTTCTCTTACATGCATTCCTCCCCACAGCCCACTCTGTCTGTCTCTTCATTCTTTCTAGAGACTCCTTTTATTAGGGGATGACACTGGTGACTATTCTATTTTGCTCTTTTGTCACCAGAAATTGGGTATGCTGCAGAGCACAAGCAGAACTGTGCCCTGCATCTTTTATTCTTCAAAACAGAAGAAGAGCAGGATGGCCAGTCTAACACATTTTTATTTTTTTGATCTTCAGCAGACTGCTCAGCCTGGTAGTCCTAATAATATTGCTTTTGAGATTGATGACACAGAGGCTATTAGTGACTTTATGTATGACAGTATTTATGGGGAATATCATGGCTTTCCAAAATTGCTTCAGGGAAGAACAAAGCCTCTGCTGTTCTCTATATTCTAAGGGGTTATGACACAAACTTCTAGGCTCACCATATGTGGGCTGCAAAGCCCTAGATGACCACCAGATGGCAGCATAGAGGCACCAACAACCCGACTCTGTTGCCCTCTAGTGACTGCTCTGAGATTGGCAGCTCAGATCTGATAGCCTCACTCAAGACTCAAGACTCAAGTCATCTGTCCCATGAGCGCATGGCCGGATGAATATTCATCTCCAGAATTCTTCCCAGACTTGTCATTTTTTAACGGGCAATGCCAGGTTTCAAGCTGGAACCATTTACATTTGTGGCATGCATCCTTTTGCTACCACATTGTATCCCTCTTCATAGCACTTGGCTCAAAGTCATGGTCATGTGTTTTTCATCAAACTAGTTGTCACAGTAAAATGGAGCATAAAGAGGAACAGGGGTTTTTTTTGGTAGAACTCAAATTCATCCATCACTTTCTGGCTCTATCCTTGGGGAGTTGGGTAGAGAGGGCTATTATTGAAAATCATCATCATCGGCATTGACAAAATCACCATCAGTCAATTGCAAAAGGCAGCTTTACGTGGAACAGCTTACATCTGTGACAATACCTTTAACACCATCAAACAATATCTGCCTATCCCAGGGAAGGATTCGATAGGTGGACAAAAAATCTGGCTGACTATGATCAACCCTAATAATACTACCATCTTTACATGAATATGCGGTTTCCCTGGCCAAATTTAGAGGCTGACAAACTTGCCAGAGTAATTTCAAAATGATAATCTTTCTTTCTTTGGAGGGGGGGACTATTTTTTTTAAATGGGCAGAACAGTGAGGAGAACAACTTGTCCTGGAACAACCTTTATTTTTCTTTCAACAGACATCTCAGTAGAGACACAGTTAAGACAATGAAGCAAAAAACGAAACAAAACAAACCACACGAGAAGGCTGCACTTCTTGTTTCAAGGTTGGCCCTGATAACGGCTCCCAATAAATGGATGGAGTCACCCAAGGTGTCCTGGGAAAAGTGGCAAGAATCTGGATTCGTGAACTTTGCAATGCCTCTAATACGACTCAGCGGGTGGAGGTTGGATTCTGCTGTCCTTGCCATTATTCTGTATGATATTTAATTGTGTCATTTTCCTACAACACCCTCCTGGAAAGCCTTTAATAGTGAGCTCATCCCAAAGTGTTGCCATAAAGTAAACAGCTATCAGTGTGCTCACAGATGCTTCCTCTTTGCCATTAAGCTCTTTAACCAACTATTTCTAAAAAATAATAATAATAATTAAAAATAATTGGGAAGCACAAATCTGTGAAATCATCCTTACTTCCAGTAGTGCTGCTGGGCCCCACTTCGTAAGCATTCTTAGAAAATAAAAATGTTGGGTAAGCAACAGCAGTCTGGTATTTTATTCTGCTCACCTGACTACTGAAAAAAAAAAAAAAAAGGGAAAGGAGGTGTCCGTGACACCCTCCCAACATTCCTAATGACCATCATAAAATTTAAACACTCAACATCAAAAGAAGAAAATAATCTTTTGCCGCATTCTCGCTGGGTGATTGCTAGCCCACTGAATGAATGGAAGGGCTTGTGAGGTGGAACATGGTACCCTATGCCTTGGCCTCAACAGAGTAAGGTAGACCCACTAGATTTTGGGGGGAGGGGGTCCCTTCAAGTCAGTTTTGACTCCTGGAAACTACCTGGACAAGTCCCTGCAGTTTTCTTGGCAAGATTTCAGAAGTGGTTTGCCATTGTCTCCTTCCTAGGGCTGAGAGAGAGGGACTGGCCCAAGGTCACCCAGCTGCCTTTGTGCCTCAGGCGGTACCTGAACTCACGGCCTCCTGGTTTCTATCCCAGTGCCTTAACTACTACACCAAATTAGCTCTCACTAGATATTTAGGAACCATTTTATTAAGCAATCCTGGGAATGTTTGCAATTGAAAGGCAGGATTAAACCTCCAATGAAGTGAACTGCAACTCATGAAATTTTATGCCTTTGAATAAAATTTATTAGTTGGAAAAGGGGCTACCAGACTCCTTCTGATTCCATCCTTCCTCCAATGGACTGAAAATAATACAAAATGCATAAGGTAAACAACAAGGCCAAATTGCAACATAATGCTGATAAAATGATTGAATCCAGGACTCAAATCATCTCACAAAAGACAAACTGTTTAAATATTTAACCGTTTTTATTTCAGGTTTGCCACTGACACACGAATAGCAGAAATTGACATATAGTATACATGGTATACACCAAGCACCCAGTACCATAGGCATTTCCATCCTTTTGCTGTATATTTTGCAAAAGAACTATTAAAAACCCACATACAATTAAAAGCCCTTCTCTCCCCAATATCACCACAACCAAAAAAGGACTTCAGTGCTGTATAGTTTACAAGACTCAACTGTTATGGAAGTGAAAAGTTTAAGGCAAGCCTCAGAGAAACACGATAGACCAATCCATGAATAAGTGGGTAGGAGAAAATCTTTAAAAAACATCAAATAAGATTCGTTCTCAGATTTATTGTCGGATATTCCCTCCTATTTTTATATTCAGGATATCTTGAAACTCTTTCAGCAAGTCTAAATCTCTTCAGCATCAAATTCCAACTTTCAGAATTCTTTGGAATGTAATCACAACTCATCTTAGCCAGTAAACATAGATACCTATGCTTTTGGTAGATGAGTAATAAAGGCATAAAATCTTTGACTCTGACACATTTATCAGTCTAAGGAAAGGAAAGATATCCCTCTATGAACAATAATTACATAAAGATTCAGGTGTGTATTAGGCAAGGTATGTGTGTGCATAAATCATTTGGTATTTGAACCCCAAAATATACACACATCTGCAAAGCTTTTGGGTCTAGAAAAGACAAAACAGTTGAGCTTGGTGGACATAGCTACAAACCTAAATTAGTTGAACAGCTGTTTTTTCTCCCAAAGGAAACTTGGAAAACACAGCTGTTTGTGTCAAGGAGAGAATAGTAACTTCTTACTGACAATTCTCAACATCCTTGCCAAACTGCAATTCCTGGGATTCTTAAAGAGTTCACATACATACAACCACGCATACACACACCATATCTATAGGAGGAAGACAGTCATCTTCCACTGTCTTTCATTTGCTTTCCATAGGGACATAGATATTGTACACCATAGAATTAAATGGATTTAGTCATCTCTTTCTCTAAATAATAGAAGCTATGGATTTCATAATGTCTTTTACCCTACAGACTCCAGAATTGTTTAGAGAAAGCAATGGCAGAATAATAAAAATAAAAATGGACAGAAGCTTCTGGTATAATCATAACCAGAAACCAAACTGACAATAAGAGGAAGTGTGAATTTCTATGAGTTGGCTGGAGCCAGAACATCTATCTGGAAGATTTGTTGCTTTTAGGCCTTAGAATCTTTGACATTTTTCTTTTGCATCTGAAGCACAGAGCATACGAAGAGCCATGCTGGAACAGGTCCACCAGCCAACTAGTTCAACATCCCATTTTTCCATAAATATTCCGTGACTTATTCTGCCTTTGAACTTGGAAGTGTGTCATAACCAGCATGACACACAGACACAGACCATGATTGATTATTCCCAATGAGTCAATGAAAACCAAGTAATGGTGACCAAGACCAGCTGAAAATATGACAAGTAATATCTAAATCAAAAAAGCTCTGGAGCTAGTTCTAAAGCCAACCTATTACACAACCTAACTCTCCTCTTTAGCAACATTCACAATTTTACAGTGGAAAAATACTACTTTCTGGAATTTGCTCATCTCTAGAGACACACTGGAATTATTAACATCCTCAAGGGCATATCCATACCAAAAATATATATTATTTTTATTCTAGGATAGCTGTCACAAGAAACTGGAAGAAAAACTTTGGAAATGTTATGTAGTGAAGAACTCAAGTCTTCATTGTTAGCAGTCCTGCTCTAGTGCATGCCATAGCACTTTTTTGAGAGTTTGAAATCAGATAGTTAACTTTTAAAAAGTGGCTGAATTCCATCAGAAATTGATAAATAAATTGATAAAAATTCAAAGAAAATGTGTACTTCTTAAATGTATCAGGTTTGATATTTCCAATATGAATATTAAAGCATAAAAATTTATATAGGAAGCATGAGAAATTTCTGGTTTGGACTCAGATTAATTTTAGAACCCTTCAGAATGTTATTATCTATAATACTACACAAAGGTCTAGAAATATAATAACAGCAGTCAAGCACCTTGAAATTACAGTACCGCTAGAGGAGGAGGTCAATGAAAACCATTCTGTCCGCCCAGTAATTTTCCATTCTACACGCACTACACTGTTGCCAATGAATCTGATGTCTTTGCAATTCTTCTTCCTTCCATCTCAAGGTAGGGAGAAGCCCTCCCACAAAAGGCCTAATTCTGATCTGCTAAAAATCTATTGGTTTTTATGGAGCCATTTCAACAGGCTTGGATATGGCCTAGTAGAATATAAGCCCCAGTTCTCTTTGTTCATGGCTTTGTGTATATAATACACTTTTTTAAAAAAAAGCTTGTAAACAATCTTGAAGAAGAGAGGGGGATGATCCTACCTTTTGTAAATAAAGATCCTATTCTAAAACAGAACAAAAAAACTCATAACAGAAGCACCATTTTGAAAACCAGAGTTCCTCTATTTGCTACATGCAGCTGAGAACAAGCCAAGCCACCAGCAATACTTATTTCTGGAGAAGGTATGGAAAATTTGGAGGAGGAGCATTGAATATAAAGACCTAGAAGCTCTAGGATAAATTGTCACTCACCAAGGTGGAGCTCTGGGGACTAGAGAAGCCTTTGGCTTTTATTTCTACCCCAGACTTCAAAGTGTGCATTTTGGGGGGGATATTAAGCACATGGATCGCTACCATTATATAGTCAACAGATATCAAACCCTCCACAAACCCTCGTGGAGAAACAAGACAATGATGGTTGGTAGCCACCAAGACTTAGGCTTCAGTTTAAATAAATCCAGGATCAAAACATTAAGGAATGAAGGATCTGTGGAGTCCTTGGGGTTCTCTGAGCTTGTTTTCTTGCAGATGTTTCGTTACCTGGCCAGGTAACATCTTCAGTGCTAGAAGGGAGTGGGGTTTGCTCTCTCTTTATATACAATAGGATAATGAAGGATCTGCTTTGATTAACTGGTGAAATGAAACCTCCCTGGCTATTGAGCCTGTCTCCCCAAAGTTCTCTCAGCCTAGGTCTTGTTAGTGCTACCTGATATTCCATTATTGTGGATTTCTCCTTAAGGTTTCATGGGGGCATCTGCAGCCCAAAGCAGAAGCCATTTTCATTCCTTCTTCTCCCATGCATTTTACCCCAGAATTTAAACCCTCTTGGAAGGCATGGAGAGCACCTATAAAAGAATGACCATTGGCACAGAAACATGGACATCTCTATTCTCTTTCACACAATGCTATGGAAACAGGATGGTCTTCCAGAGCACTGTCGACAGCAAATGTTGTGTTCACCTGCAAAAAACAGGAATGGTATGTGGTTTGCCTATTCGTGTGTTTTTAGAGAGCCAAGGGCTATTGTAATGATTGCTGTAAGAGACTCCAGCAGCTGCCTAAGAATGTTGTCTACTGTCCCCAAAACAGACAGCACTGGATGTAGAGCAACAACCCTTACAAAATTGAGAATCCTGACTCTGGACTGCGTTTCACTTCACATATCACTTGTCCTGCCCTGCCCTGCCCTGCCCTGCCTTAGGATGAACTTTATCACTGCATTCCCATCTAGTCCATCTTGTAGGAAGATATGCACCAAATACTGCTCCACCCTTCCACTTTTCATACACAGACCAAAGCTAGCCTGGCATAAATCCAAAACACTGCAAATGAACAAAAACTCAGGTGTTCATAGGTATTTTGCAGACGTATTATGGATTGGAAAGGGCTAACGTGAAACAGTAACACTGGAAGACATGTGGGTTTAAATAACAAAGGCAGGAAGGAAAGGAAAAAAGGTGAGCTCCTATTCATTAGGGGATAGGAAACTAAGAGGCAGCTCCACCTTACACAACGTGGCACGGTCTCTTGGAAAGGACCATGAGAAATAGGCAAAGTGGTCAAGCACCGTTAAAATTTGCATTGCTCGTGTTAACTGGAATGATCGATAGCTACCAATCAGTGACTGGCTGTTAGCCCCGCATAGAAGCATGAACACCAAGACAAACAAAAAAACCAAAAAGAAAAAACAAGTGTGTCCAGATACCCGCACTTCCATCACAGCTGGGATATCACTTTCTTGTGGGTACCATGTTACACACATGGACGTCTTACAATATTTTGGTTCCAGATTCAGTGGTACTTTCTTGTGGTCCGCTATAACCCTAGGGAGTGGGGGGGGGGGGGAGTGGTCCTAAGAGCCCCTTTTATTTTTTAGCCCCTTTTTATTTTAGCAGGGATTGAAGCCATGCGTTTAAGGAACCACCTTCCTTATCTTTGGTCCATCTCAGACAGTGCTGTCTTTCAGTTCTGGCCTTGCCTTCTCCTTCAGGGCCACAGAATGCATGGCTGAATCGTGATAACATTTAGGAGGTTTGGGCAACTTCGAGGTAGTTGTTTACTTCTGCTTTACTATTAAGTGACTGGATGGTCAAAACCTCTATCAAGCTCCCTTCGTATTGGCACTCTTCCTCTCCCTCTTCCTCTAAAAGAATGTTTTTCTTGGTCAAAATGCACTATGTACCAGACCCCTTCTACTCAGATGGTTCCCTTTCCCTCCCCCCAGAGGCTATTTTTACACTTTCAGCCACTTGATCACAGAGGGTCAGAAAGTTGCACATTACGCTTCGGTCAGATGTGGGGACAGCCCAGTCAGCAATGTCTCAGGGTGCAAAAGTCCAACTCCTGTGGCTTCTTCCTGAGGTTGCAGCGTTCACGGGGTAGCAGGATGCCACCTCGCCCTGTGCATCTCAGTATGCGCCTTTTAAACCCCCTGCCACAAGTTTTGGAGCATGATGACCAGGGAGACGCCTCCCATGTTGGGCAAGGGTCTCCACATATCCTGATGTCAACAGGCCTCTGAGTGGCATCACAAGAGGAGGCCAGCTGGCCAAGGGTGTCACGACACAGCACCATGCGCTTCTGCAGACCATTGCCACAAGTGACTGAACAGTCTTCCCAGCTGGTGGTGGCCCATTTGTAAGAGGGGCGTTTGTAATCCGGCTGACCCAGTTCCAGGCGGTTGGACAGGCTGAGAATACTGTTGTTGAGGACTGGAGGACGCTTCCCATCTTTACGGTAGGAAGACTTATCCTCTTTGCTTTCTTTGGGCAAGTAGAAGGAGTAGCGTACTCGAGGTGGCGTCATCTTCCCAACCGATAGCACTTCCACTGTCAGAGGCTCCTGGATGGGCATAAAGGCTTGGAGGCTTTCCACAGCTGTACCTGTTCCACTATAACGCATCACACTGCCCTTGACTATTAAGTCCCTTTCCACCGCGGAGACAATGAAATGCCCATTCAAAAGATATTTGCCATGCCCATTCTTCAGGGCCAGGTAATTATCATCACTGATCAGACCCTTGTAGCCTCTCTGACGGATGTCAATGCTGGAAGCACCAACTGGGAGGAGCACCACAAAGTTGTAGCCATGCCTTTATAGGGTAGAAGAAAGACAAAACTTTAATATGAGTTAGCAGATTCACCTAAGAGATGCTTATTTATGTTGGCCAGAAACAAGGGTTGAAAAGATAGGACAATGATGCAGGCAGGTGAGCTCATGCAGTGTCCCTATACTGGACCACAAACTTCAGTTTCATTTAACAGAGCTAAGCAGGGAGAATGGATTTTTGGACTACAGCTCCTGTAAGCTCCAACACTGTAGCCAGTATTTGGGGATTTTGGAGATTGTTGACATACCATTTGGTGGGCACTAGGTTTCTGCCCTAAAAATGATGTGTTCATTTTTCCAAAATGTCCTGTTTGTTCTCTCAGATGGGTACTGCATGAACATGGCCCATTAGCTTCTGATTCAGTGTATTGGGAGAAGTGAGAAGATGGGTTAATTCAGTAATTCAGTTGAGCATCTGATACAGATCTAGTGGAACATTGCCTGACACTGAATCAGGACATTGGTCTACCTAGTTCCATTCAGTCTTTAAGCTGGCCTTTCAGTGTCCCTACCCAAAGTTCACTCACATGGGTTTGGTGAACAAGCCTGAAACTTTCTTGCAGCTTTTGTTGTCTCCTCCGCACACTCCACACTTGTCAAATTTCTTTTTGGAACCAAGTTTCCCATCACATCCAGCTTTGATACATTTTCCCTGGACACATAGCGAGCTAGAGTCTGGAGAACATGGTGTACCATCCACCACCTGTAAATCACAAAGATAAGAATGGAAACTAGTGCTGCTTTAGTAAAATGTAGAGAGGGCTGGAATGTTGATCAGTGTCCATTTGTTTTGAGAGCAAGTCATCACCAGTCATCCCTGTCCATGGTCCTACAAAGGAAATCTGATCTTTCCCCTGCCCAGATGAACTAGTTGCATCACATTTCACAAGGGCTTCTGTCATTTGGTCGAATATTCCTCAATGCTAGGTATGAGAAATACCTTCATGTGAATCTGAATTTTTTAAAATATAACTGAGATCTTGGTCACCTCTTGGCAGTGGAACAAGGGCTGGAGATTCAAAACCACCAAAATGATTGGGAGTAGCATTCTACCCACACTGTAATATGCCAGAGAGTTTTCCATGGCTCCCATAAAAAATGGAGGCTCTTTGTGCATGGAAGCAAGTCGCATGTGATTGCAAACATCGCACAAATAATTGTGGACAAAAGAGTAGTACTAGCATTGAGTAGGTTTGTAGATCTAAGGAACCCAGGAGAAGAACAAAAGAAAGACAAGCAATCAGCAACACTTAGTCCAAATAAATTATGGGACTTATAAGTTTCAAGGGAAATCTAAACACCTTTGATTAGTCTCCCTTCAACAAACATCCCTTTACAATTTCTCTTTTTCTCTAAATTGAAAGTTTATTAAAATACATTCTTTTCATTTTAAAATATCCAGTATGTGGGCCTCTTTTTTCAGCCATATTGCCCTTGCCCTAAATCTGTCCAACTTCAGCAAAAAATAAATAAATAAAAAAAATTCCAACTTACCTTCGGGGCTAGGACATAAAAATAGCCAGTTCCATTGGCACGACAGATGAGCTTACATTTATCCCGGGGAGACACTCCAGAATATTTGGGGACCCAGGAAACAATGGCGGTCAGTCGATTTGTGCTATGGTTATAGCCATTGAAAGCTTCACATTGTTCTTCCCGAAAACTTTTCCCTGGAACTATGAGAAATCAGTTTCAGAAATGGTTTGAAGAGCTGATTCTTACCATCGCAAATATAGTGACCATCCACTGAATCTTCAAACAACATTGCACTTGTTAAAAAACACTGGATTTGAGCAGAAGCAGAGCAAGAAATGCCAAATAGTTGAACATTTTGTCCCCACAATGACCAGGTGCCAAAGTAAACTCGAAAACCACAACATACATATTTCTGAACCTCAGAAGCATTAGGCCATTTCAACTAAGATGGTTTCTAATATTACATATCACATAACTGTATTCACAAGTTTCGTAAGAAGTGTTCCCATTACAACTTGGGAAAGCCCTTCCGTGGGCATCTTTGAACTGCCATCTTGGTAGGCTTCAGATTAAAAACTCTGTGGCGGTGGTGAGATTGAATTCCATGCTTCATTTCCTGTAGCGGTTCTGCAATAATTTTACCCCCCAGAGCATCTTAAGTCTCATTTTCAAACTCCTTGATCTGCTATCGCATCAACATTTAGAAGAAGTAAAATGACATTGTCAGCAGAACTGCACGCAGTGGCTAATTTAACACAAGTTCTTTATGGATGTTGATTGTCAAATGAAGTGGGAGCAAGAGATCCGTGCAAAGCCTTGGATTTTATTTTCCTTTTTTTTAAAAAAAAATTATAAATGCATGGTAATTTTAAAAGAGATCTTGCTCATATAGGAATTTATAGTAGTAGTTGCCACAAGCTATCTTTAGCAGGAGCATGTGGGCACAATGAAAAATAAATAATATATAATGGTCTCCCATCCAAAGCATTGATCAGCCCCTCATAACAATGCCGCAGTTTGCACCTTTATAAATTCTCACCTGAATCAAAGCAGGGATCCAAACCACAGGAACGATATTTCACTCGAACCCCTTCACAGTACTTTCCTTCATTGGCTGGAGGGGGATTGTTGCATTGACGTTTAGCCAGCTGGACTCCTCCGCCACACGTCCTAGAGCATTGTCCATAAGGTGCCCACTTCCCCCAGCTGCCATCCACCTGCCAGGGCATAACACATTGAGCAGATGCAAAACTCACAACTCAAACAGCATGTGCTCCACCTGAATTGTGCTGTCATATTCATGCAAATTTCTTTGGCCTTGTGCAGTAAAATAGAAAGGGTGCCGTTCCTATTTTTTGCTCAAGCAATACAACGCATTTGCTAGCTAGAACCATGGAGTACGTGCAAAATGCTTTTTCTGCTTTTAATAAGGAGCAGATTAGGAATTATTTTTATCCCTAGCATTTCAGAAGAGCTGACTGGTTATGGAAAGTAACAAGCAATTAAATCAACTGCTCGTGCAGATCTCTGCAACTTTCTTAAGTGGATTAAACTAAAGCATAACAAAGCAAATAACCATTGACTCAGGAGAATATGAGTACAGCTATAGAAATCCATGTGGACCACAATGGTTAATTTAGATGCTTCCAATACTCTAAATTCTGGATAACTCATGTCTGGATCAAATTATGTTGGTTTGAGTACTTAGCATACTCTTCTTTTGTTTGCACATGTGAGAGTGTATCTGTAGCCTGAACTAGATCTTTGTGAACATCAGCTGTTGTACTGTTCCCCAAGCATCGTGCTCAGCCAAGAGCCATCAGTACTCACCCGGTACTTACTGATGTTATGCCTCTCCACACAGGCACCCTTCAAGCAGAACCTCCCTTCTCCACAGCTGGTGCCATCAGCCCAAGGGAAGTGACGTGTCTGGCACATGATGTGGCCGCGGGCCTTTCCCGTGCACCACAGCTTGGTGCAGTATTGCATGTACGGGCAAGGCTTGGAGCCAATGCCAAAGGCCAGCTCACACTGCTGGTTGAGGTTGTAGCTGGAGCCGGGAAGATCTTGAGGCAAATGGATTGGCTTGGTGGGTTGGTCCAAGAGGCAATCACCTGGAGAAGACCAAGGAATGCAATGGGAGGCCATCCAAAGGAAACCTTCATAGAATCAGGACTTGCTTTCTCTTGCTTTGTTACCAATACTAGTCATAGTGGTGACAGAGGTGAAAGGGGACGATTAGGATTTGCATCTTTACATTGTGGACTAGTTTGGATAGTTTGGATAGTTTGGTTGGAAATTGGCGCAGAATTTTGCGTTATCTTTTTTTTTAAAAAGTCTTCAAATGAACAAGGAAGAGTGCAGCTGACCTGCTGCCATATAGCACCAGACCCTTCTAAAATGGGTGTTCCAAGTTAGATTCAGCCTTAGCATTTCTAATGATTTACAGCTCTCCAAGTGTAAACTGTTTAGTAAAAGGAGAGGAGTGTGCCAAAACAGCTTGATCGGGTGATTATTCTATTCTTCTAGACAGCTGGTTTTAAGAATCTCTGACACCCTCGAGGTTTACCTTCTCTGGGGGGCTCAGTTTCTGTACACTCCTAAGAGCAGATTCACATAAACATCTTGATAGCGTAAAATCAAACCTTAAGAATGTGCAGAACCTACCCAAGATGTTAACAATATTTTGTTAATATTTTGATTCCCTTTGTCCAAAAATATTTGTCTCTTTTTCTGTGTTTTTTTTAATTAAAGCAAGAGTCTTAACATTTCAGTATCAAAGTGAATCTCAAAATTAAAGGGAAATTAATCCCAATCTTGGGATTGAGTGAAGTCATAGTTAATGCTGTGTTCGCACATCACCCTGAGCCTTAATGAGGTTTGCTCAATTTTGACTTAATGGTTTCTTGTGTTTTGTAAACTGTGGTTTATGGCTATTTATTCTGTGTAAACCCATTGTGGCTTATTCAACAAACTATTGTTATAACAAAGCCCAGCTTAGTACAGTACATGAAGCCATTATAAATAGAGTATTACCTCACCAGTTCTGGACTCCAACAAGAGATCCAATAATGATGAACAAAGGATGATATCCAGGTCACATCTTGACTACAGTGTCTGTTTATGTTTTTGTGGGCCTCAGACTTTAGGAATATGGAGAATCCCACAGAGAAATTTTGTTTGTTTTACTGAGTTTTGCTGGATTCTCCACCATAAAAGTAAACTCCAAGATTCATCCTGAAATCTCATGTTTATGGAATCAGTATGCTATAAAAAGGTGAACTCTACGGGATAGCCTTTGTAACAGATTGCTTCAATTGGCTGAGACTCAGTGCTACCAAGAATGACCCCAAGCTCAGATCATCTGAGGCAAAAAGCATATATTATAGTATATTTGTGCAAAATCCAACAGTGACTAACCACAAGAATTTATGATTCCAAAGTTCAGGCTTTCATCAAGGTGAGAAAAGAGCAAAGTTTCTGGAGCAAAGACTTTGGTTTAGCCACTTACCTTTTCCCCTAAGTGTATCATTTCACCACTATTCTGACTTATCCACCTGCATTTTGATGGCAAAGATGTCTTCCAGCTCTTTTCGAGTCAAATATCCCTAGTCTCTTACCCCATCTCTCTTTCATGCACCTATTCCCCCTCCCCTCCTCACCATGTCCGCTGTCCAGGAAATCGGTGATGATGGCAGTGCTACAAGGTGACCATGGGTTGATACGGTCAATTTGGATGAGAGTGGGGGACATCATATGGTTGGTCTTCAGTTTACCAAAGACTTCTTCACAAGCCTTCACGTTGTCATGGGGCATGTTGAACACATGTCCTAGAAAGAAAGTGTTATGGTTTGAAAATTGCAGGGAGCATACTGGCACTTCCTGAGCAATAAAATTAGCAATGAGCAGAAGTATTCCCCATCCAGTATTTTATGAGGTGTTCTGCTTAAAGTACCAAAATGATTTCTTTGACCTTGAATATCCCAAACACTGATTTGAAGGAAAGGAGCACTGGCTACCTGCTAAAGGAGGAGAATTTCTTGCACCAGCCCTAAACCTAGGGAATCAGAAGGAACTAAAGATTACAATTAAAGGAGAAGAACACTTATATTTGATGTACTAATACAGAATGAAGCAAAATATTTTAACATTGGACATATTGAATGATATTTTCGAATAATGGACCCAGAAGTTAATTTTTAAAATGTCTGCCTCTATAGATTGACCATGTTTAAGAGATGTTAGAAAAAAGGAACGAGTTATATCTGACAAGATTGAGACTGATCTGAAAGTGGTTTTAAAAATGACAGGCTACAAGAATGATATGCAAAAAAGATGCTACACTGAACATACAAAAGAAACCAGCTGATGTCTTAATAATTAAAAAGGATATACAAATAACAAACCCTGAGAGTGCCCTGGAAAGTTTTCCTGTACTAGATTTACAGAAGAGGTTTGTTAAAACTTCGAAGAATTTTGTGAGAAGGGACAAAGAAAAAGTGAAAAGAAATCAAGTTCTAGATCATTATTTGAAGGGACTAAAGATCAAGGTTGTTAAAAATAAAAAGAAAGCATATAAAGTTGGTTTACCTGATCAAGATTAAAATAGATATGTTATCTCTGGTAACCCTTAATGGTCTTTTGCTGAAACAATGAGGCTTTAATGATTTATTTATGGATAGGAGATGAGATATGGGAGGAAGATCATTTGTTATATTTTAAGAGAAGGTGTTAAGTTACTAAAATTGTTTATACTTGTGATGAAAGGAGAAGTCATTTCTTTATATCTTTCCTTTCTTTTTCTTTACTATATTCTTATTTTTTCTTTCTTTTCTATTTTTCTTTCTATTTTTTCTTTTTATCCTTTTATTTTAGTTTGCATTAGTTTTTTTTTAATTTTTTAATAAAACTACTATATATAAAAAGACTCGAACAGGCCACAAGACAGAGCTGTTGGGCTTGGTGGTTTACAAGAGATTCTTTTGGTCTTCACCTCCTCTTTGCTCTTTCTTCCATAATCCATGAAAGGCTTGACCTCTGTTGCACAGAGTTTTGCAAGTGCCTGCAGCATAACGGTTGTACTCTACATTCCCTTTCCTAGATCCACAAATATCTTCCTTCTCATGTTCTAATCAGGTTGTCTCTCAAAAGCCAACAAATTTACAACAGATGCAGTGTGCAATTCCTGCCAGCAAGACCTGCAAGCCAGCAGTTTTCTTTGCCAAGACTCACACCATTTACTTTGTATGCAGATACTTGTCCCTTCAAAAGACCTGAGGGGGAAAAAAATGAGAAACCAAGGGAGGAGAAGGCAAAAAGAGAAAAAGAGAATTCCTTATTCAAACTCACAGCTACTCTGGGTGGAACACCCGAAAGCAGACAACAGACATATTGGGAACAGTGGAAGAACTTCTAGTTGAACTAGGCCACAAATAAACTAGGCATCTTGGTTTAATGTAATTTCAGAATATCAAATATCTCACCCAGCATTCTGCTTCTCACTGGGGCTGACCAGATGCCTTTGGAACCCCATATGCTGTGCTTAAATACAAGAGCTTTCTCTCTCTTCATTATCCTCCTCTGATACACAGAGAATAATGAAAGAAAGTATTCTCTGACTCATGGAGGGTGCCAGAAAGGGACAAGTCTAATAAACTCCCCCTCCCCAGCATGGTTATGCTATTGTTAGTTCTCATGATAAGAGAACTAGCATAAAACTCCTTTCTAGCATAAAAGGAGCTAGAAACATATGCATACAATATTGTGTTTCTAGCAGATTCAGTATTTTTGTACGTCTGTACATTTTATTTTAGCTTTCATCCAGAATGTAGTCATCATTCCTCTAACTTTCCCCATAACAACTTCTCAGTTGGACTGAGAGAATGACTGGCCCAACATCACCCAGTGAGCTTCCATGACTAAGGTTAGGCTTAAATCTAGATCTCTGCAGTCACAGTTCATCACGTAAACCTTACACCACACTGGGGATTGTGGGGAATAGATTTGTCATTTAAATTGGTGTCTATTTCCTGCATTCCAGACCTTACTTCCAAAGTTCTAAAAATATAAATTAAAAAAACAAACAGTAGCTAGCCTTACAAGTTCAAACACCAGCAGTAGGAGGAGTAGTTTTATTTAGTTTCCAGTTATAAATAAGTGCAGTACAGATAAATCAGAATTATAGACAACATAAACTAGAATCAAAATAAAACAATAACCAGTTTAAGGCATTTCCTAGCACAAAATCATAATTAACATTAACAGTTCTTAATATTAGCATAACATTAGTATTAAGCCTTAGCAAATAATGAAAGAGAAGGTCCTTTGAAAAAGAAGTTAGTCTTTTAAAACTTCTAGAGAATTGACTCCAGACACAATTCAAGGGGAGTTGAACACAAAGAAGAGGAGCTACATTCCAAACCATCCTAAAATGTAGGATGGCAATTTTAACATGAGGAAAAGCTAACTGACCTTGATTACACTATCAAGCTGAAAAGCATGATCTCTAATCGAGGGTTTCAAATAATAGGGGGGTTCAATACACATGGCCTGGGAAGCAAGTGCCTGAAAAATTAAGACAATCCCTGTGGGAAAAGAATCTAAAGACTACTAATCATCAAAACTCACCTGAAAGCTAAGCCTACCTTTAAAGTTAACTATAGACCTTAAGAAAACGTAACCCTACTTTAACTCTACTGAAAATAGAATTCTTTCACCTTAAAAGCTTACTTCTACACAATCCCTACCATATTTAACTAGGATGGACCCTAAGGATAAAAACTCAAACTGTTCCATTAAATGTAGGAAGCCTAATGTTAACCTGAGCTTCACCCTTATGGTGTGATTGATTGATTGATTGATTGATTGATTGATTGATTGATTGATTGACTGATTGATTGATTGATCGATT